TGTGACATTTATCAGACCCTGAGAAAGTACCATCAAAAGCCTGTTTCAAGGGAGGAGAAGAGCTTCCCAATAGCCTATTCTTTGGTCGTTCATAAAGACGCCATTATGGTTGAAAGGCTACTTCATGCCATATACAACCAGCACAATGTGTACTGCATGCATTATGACCATAAATCACCTGATACCTTCAAAGTTGCCATGAACAATTTAGCTAAGTGCTTCCCCAATGTTTTCATTGCCTCCAAATTAGAGACAGTGCAATATGCACACATTTCCAGACTCCAAGCTGATCTGAATTGCTTGTCAGACCTCCTCAGGTCCTCGGTTCAGTGGAAATATGTTATCAATCTGTGTGGGCAAGATTTTCCTTTGAAGTCAAACTTTGAATTAGTGTCAGAGTTAAAGAAACTCAATGGAGCAAATATGTTAGAAACGGTGAAACCCCCTAACAGTAAAATGGAAAGATTCACTTACCACCATGAACTCAGACAGGTGCCTTATGAATATGTGAAGCTACCAATAAGGACAAACATCTCCAAGGAAGCCCCCCCTCATAACATTGAGATATTTGTTGGCAGTGCTTATTTTGTTTTAAGTCGAGCATTTGTTAAATATATTTTCAACAACTCCCTCGTTAAAGACTTTTTTGCCTGGTCTAAAGATACATACTCGCCTGATGAACATTTTTGGGCTACCTTAATTCGGGTACCAGGAATACCTGGGGAGATTTCTAGGTCAGCCCAGGATGTGTCTGACTTACAGAGTAAGACCCGCCTTGTCAAGTGGAACTATCATGAAGGGCTTTTGTATCCCCGTTGTACCGGCTCCCACCTTCGAAGTGTGTGTATCTTTGGAGCAGCGGAATTAAGGTGGCTTATAAATGACGGACATTGGTTTGCTAATAAATTTGATTCTAAGGTGGATCCTGTCTTGATTAAATGCCTGGCAGAAAAGCTTGAAGAGCAACAGAGACAATGGATTGCTATGTCTTCAAAAAAGTTACTTATGGCTAAAAATCCCGTAATCACATCATGATAAAATCATGATAGAAAGAAGGCATCTGATAACTAGAGCTCATATGGACTTGTGTGCTACACCAACCCAGTACCATTCAAGCTTAACCTCCTCACAGTTTGCGAGGTGTCCAAAATTCCACGCACAAAGGCGACAATTAGCCTGCATTTGGTTGGGTGTTTTTTGTTTTTCCTTGTAACCTTATGGAGCTAAATCAGAGATTTTAAACAGTCCATCATCAGAGCTCAGCAACTACTGATACTGAGCTCCAACTGTATGCCAGGTACTTTTATAGAAATGTGTAGGAATTAGATTCAAATTGTAATGAGTTATACAATGCCTTCAAGGCTTGCCCTAGTTCCACAGCAACCTTAGTATCAAGTTCTCCACATAGCAGTCAGGATTCTACTGAAAAGGTGTTGGAGAGTGGGATAATCACATAACCACTGAAACCACCAATTTCAGGGTAGTGTTTAAGTATAATGACCAACACTCCACTTGTCTCTTAATTCAGCTCCCCAGACTTTTCTTAGCCATTAGAATATTAGGAGAAACTCCACTACCTCAGGAAAGCTCAAAGAATTGTCCAGTTTCCTGCTTGCCAAAGCATTTTCCTATTGGTGCCTCACCCTTTCAATTCAGAGTCCGAAGACTCTGTTGGCGGGGCATATAGTGTGTGAATGTTAGGGAGGCTGGGTGGGGGGTGGGGGGACTGGGACAGGTGGTGCCTGAAGGGAAACAAAGGGATTTATAGGACTTTAGAATCATGTTGCACAATGGTTTCATGAATGGTCTCTTTTTTAATTCAATTAGTTCTTTAAAATTATTGATTAAAAATAAGAACTTGATTATTAGTTCAAAGCGTTACATTCCTGAACGTTGAACTTAAGTCTTCTAGCTCATAGATTATCATTACATGTAGGTTTTTTACAGTGGAATTAGTGTAATTTTGCGCTATGGAGCCATTAAGCTAAGAGTCACTGAATTTTCTTGAAAAGGTTGTGTAAAATATGACAGCTTTCTAAATTACCTCTTATGGTCATTTAAAATTTTTGCTTACGTCTCCAGTAACTATCCAAGTAGAATCCAAACTTAAACTTACAAAAGCTCTAAGCCCACTAAAGTCTTCTCAGCTTAGATACAGAGAGAAAAAGCAAAGTTTCTTTAGGACATAGCAAGAATATTCATTAGTGGTATTTTGTAAAACCTACACCTTAGAAAACCCCTAAACGAATCAAATATACACCTATTTTAATGTCACTGTACTGTGCCGGAGGTGAAATGGGACAGGAGCAGCGTCCTGAGAACAGGTTGTAACATTTTTTTACATCTCTTGGGAAATCATGGAACTCATGTAAAAATTTCTTGCTGATCTTATGTTTCAGTGTCAGCCTCAGCATCTACATAAAGATGTAGTAATCATGGCCAATATGAGACTATCTGGAAGACTAGAGTATTTAAATCTTTTTGTAAATGTCTGTGTTCTACATGTGAAATGCACTTTGCTGGTTTTAAAGTTTATGATACTGACTGCCAAGTGGTACCACTTCTCTCCAGCTCATTTTTCTTCCTCTTATCCCCCGCACCCTTCAAATTACTTCATTCTTCAGAAAACAACTATGACCAAGCTCCTGTTCTTAAAAATAAGTAACTGTTGGGGGCGCCTGGGTGGCTCAGTCGGTTAAGCGTCTGACTCTTGGTTTCAGCTCAGGTCATGATTTCAGGGTCATGATATCAAGCCTCATGCAGGGCTCCATGCTCAGTGAGGAGTCTGCTTAAAATTCTCTCCCGCTGCCTATCCCCCCCCCAAAATAAATAAATGTTTAAAAATAAATAAATCTTAAAAAGAAAATAAGTAACTGTTGGATAGAGTTAAGTTCTGCAGAAGATACTTATCAGTTTGATTGTGTGTGTGACTGTGACAAGCTAAGTCATTTTGGTCTCTATGAGCCTCAGTTTTCCTGGTCTTTAAAGTGAGTACTTGGAGCCTACCCTGGCCTCCTCACACTGTGTGTGTGTGTGTGTGTGTGAGAGAGAGAGAGAGAGAGAGAGAGAATCAAAATAGTGTGTGAATTGGTTTAAAAATGGAGACAAACTATCAACAGTAAATATCAGAGAGTAGTCTCATTACAGGGCAAAGAGAGATCCAGCCCCATTGTGTGACTTTACCATTTACCTCTTCTGGAAAACCTTTGACATATAAAAGAAGCCACAATCATAGGAGCAACTTCTGTGAATCAATCTAGGTACAAAGAATCCCGTTACCACATCTGAAGTTCTTTTTAAGCCAACAGGATCAGCACATCGATCCAGTGGCTTGGATCAATTTTTTCTGCCTTGTAGGCTTCAACACAAGGCCCCACTGAAATCTTGGTTTTTATGTGTTTGGCCATCAGAATAAATGAAAAGTAAATATCGATCTCCTATCCAGTGTCTTGCCTCCTGGTGAGAAATGATTCTATCCCTGGAAATTTTCCAGTTGTTAATTACTTTCATGCCATACTCCAATGAAACATGGCCCCAGTGCCTTCTTGTCCCCATTGACACATTTCCTGGGATTCAGTTCAACATTTCAGGGAGCTTGTCAGGTCATCTCTTTTGCCTTGGGAATCCTGCAGTTTCCTTACATGTCTTTGAACCTCCTTCAGACCTGATTAAAACCTTTTGGTATGATTTTTTTGTGATCTAGAAAATGTTTTACAGTCTGTATTTTATAATTATCCTTTGCATAGTATTTATTGAATCTAGATTCTAAGTTATTTGGCAACGAGACCAGGACCTTGAAGTCTGTAAATTGTATTAGATATTAATAATGAAAGAGCTACTAATATAGATCTACATTATGTGAACGATCTACTGTAACATTATAATATTTAAAGATCAATGTTGTGACTATTTTTAATGTTTTGGTTATTCTAAGTGGACAAAATATATATATATACACAAATAAAATGTTTAAATTTACAGAATTAAATTTGAAGATTTCTCTTGCCTTCCAGAATGTGAATATTATACAGACACACACATATATATATTTTGACATATTTCATGAAAACAAAAATGACAATCTTCTTTGAGAATGGAAAGTGAATGTACTATATGTATGTTACAGCTGTTTTTGTTGTTTTTTTTAACCATTTTTGAAAGACGTATTTCCCATTATAGGAGTTTTAAATAGACTGATGTTGCATTTTGGTATTATGCTGCTAGCAGATGTTAATTCTCTTGGATTGTAAAGTAAAATATGCTCCGAAAACCAAACCCCTGGAATTTGTGATGTTTCCTTTCTCTCCTGGTACCGGTTCTCCACAAAGACTCTTTCCATTTATGACACTTGCCCAGTATTTGAAGAGCACAGTTGATTTCACTTCAGAGTTAAAGAATTCGTGTGTGTATAATACACAAAATATGGGCACTTGAAATTGAATTGTTTAATTTGAAGGAATCTCTCAGGATCTGTCTTCATTCTCCCCCAGATTGACTTCTCGTCTAAGATGAATTATCTAAACAAGTATTCCTGTGTGCTGGATTACTTTGTGGACGTTATAGGTAGGGGAGACCGAGCTCTTCATGTCAGGTCCCTCGGTCCCTGGAGAATCAAGCCTCTTCTCTCCACACCAGGACCCCTGCCTTGGGGTGAGCCCCCTGGGCCCTTAGGTTTGGTTGGTGGCTGATTCCTGGTGAACTTCCCCTCTGTTCTGAATATCACCACCTTTCCTAGCTCTGCTAAGCTAAGGACTATTTCATATGGCTGATCTCTATGCCTCCCACACACTTGGAAAATGCCCCTGACCAGTGTTCTTCTGTCATCCTGTGTAAAGCCATAAGTCACCAACGTCCCAAGCTGGCAAGGAGTATGCAGGTCACACTCACAAATCACAATCCACCTCAAGGAATAAGGCCATTTTGGGAATCTTCGACATAATAAAAATTAACATCTACTCTTAACCTATGATTAATTCTTGCTCTTGCCAAACTGGACAACGATGCAAATCCACAGTACTCTCATGGAAGGATTTGGACTTTTGGTAGCAGTTGCGGGTGGGGTATTTATCATCATATTGAAGACCCATAGGCTTGATTCCTAGGTGATCAGTTCTATATATTTTTTATTCCCTTTGGGATCTACAAATCTACATATGAACTAGGACAAGTGGTTTCTCATCTCATGAAACTGATTATGGGGAAACCCTGGCAGAGAGAACAGATGATTGCAAATTTATTCTCACTTTTGGAAAGATATTCCTGGGAAGATGCATAACAAACAGCTTGAGCTTTGCTTCAAAGACAAATGGTCAGTGTATCAACACACATGGGTATGTTGACTATCACCTGGCCTCAGGTGTGGCCTTCACATAGAGCAGCAGAGTCCTTCCTGGGAGCATCTGGGATTGAATCATGGAGAAGACAAACAGCCAGAAGAGAATCTAAGGGAAAAATATGGTCTGTGACTTTGGTGAATTTATTTTACTTTTTTTGTTGTCATTGTTATAGAATAAAAGATATGTAAACAGAAATCATTTATATTCATAATTCTACACCCTGACAAAACCATTATAGTTCTCTGAATGTTTTTTTAATTTATTTAAATTCAATTAATTAACATGTAGTGTATTATTAGTTTCAGAAGTAGACTTCAGTGTTTCATCAGTCTTTTTATTTTA